GCAGTGGTCCCCAACCTTGGGCCTCCAGATGTTCTTGGGCTACAACTCCCAGAAGCCTTTCACCACCACCTCTGCTGGCCAGGATTTCTGGGAGTTGAAGTCCAAGAACATCTGGAGGCCCAAGGTTGGGGACCACTGCTGTAATGGCTACCAGTCTTCAGTCACTGCCAGATTTTGTTATGGAAGACAAGAGTTTAGAGCGGGTCTAAATATGTACGAATAAACTCTTTAATCAATGTTTGCGTAATGAACGAGAAACACAACCTAAAAGAGAGGTTTTTATTACATCCACTGGAGGAAGGGTTACAAATCCCCACCATCTAGATTATGTTAATGAACTTTTCACACAGATTTTCTATAGAGATCAATGATGCACCATTCCTTGGTTACTTTTTTTTGGGGGGGGAATCATGGATTTGGGGGAAATACAGGGGTGCGAACCCACTCCTTAAACTCCCTTGCATATTTTCGGCTCTCCTCCAGAATGGGCATCATGTAAGGCTTCAGGTTCTTGTGGAGAGCCTCCACCATTTGCCTGAAGCGTGTCCGCACTTCGTTGGCGACCGGTTCGAGGGACGCATGAGTGTCTTCCAGCTTCTGGAGGTAAAAGGACAGCTGAGTATCCAGGGTTTCGAACTGTGGCTTCATCTTGTCCAACCTGTGTTCTAGTTCTTGAATCCGGGCCCTGAGGGTACGTTGGAGGGACTCTAACCATGGACCCACTCTCTCTAGGATTGGATCAGAATAATATGACACGACAGATTTCAGTGGCTCGGCCATGTCTTGCTTGCGCCTGAGGTCATAGAAAGCTGTCACTGCTTTGTCCATAATACTTAATGGTACTCCAACCATCACATCAAGTAATTCTTTGATCTCTGGGGGTATCTCCTCGTGAAGGGTATTCAAGTAGCGGGTGATTCTGAATGTCGTATCTCTGCAAAACAAAGAATTTGGGAAGAGTTTAGCAAAATGGGGAAAGTCTTAGAACCTTACGAATCATCAAATCTGGCCTCTGTCAAGGAGGCCCAGAGGGGAATCGAACCCCCAATCTAGATGCCGAAACCACAGAGCTATCCGGCATATTTAGGGTATACCGTTCTAGCCTTTTGACTTCACTTGAACTGGCATTGTTCCATGCTATGGGATCCCGGGAGCTGTAGTTTGGCGAGGAATGTAAAATTCTTGGCGAGAGCGCTCCCTTGAACCACAGCAGAACCTCGTACATCTCTCCCCGAACTACCGGTCCCTTGATTCTATAGGTCAGAACCCAGGGAGTTAAGGAGGAATCCAATGGCTAGAACTGTACAGTGTAGCTTTTGCATGCATGAAGGGGATCTGCTTACAAAAAAGCGACGCTAGTGTTCGATCTTGAGACCACGAACAGTATTTTGTCTGTCAAATGCTGGACATCTCGCCGGTATAGCTGCCATCCGTCAAGTACTACGTCCAGCTTGGAATCTGGCTCCGGAGCTTCTCTGATAACAAAAGGATGGGATCCTGGAAGACAAGAAAAGACCGTCTGTATTGCACTGGCCACGAGATGCCGTGAGGTGGAGGGAAGTTATATTGTTCCACCAGGGGCTGACCAGACCTTTGTCCCTGCTGAGACACATGCATGCCGTTCCTTAAAGTTTTCTGAAAGTTAACACAGACAAAGGGTGACCTCTATATTGGTGGAGCCGTCAAGGGCTGGCTTGCTCTTGCAGCTGTCAAGACCTACATCCTGGAGAATTTCCTCTGGAACTCTCTGGACCCTGCTCCCCCATGTTCTCATTGCTTCTTGTTCCCTTCTCCCCTTCCAGAAAGCCATTCTTGGCAAGAACAGAGCTCAGAAAAGTCACATTTTTTGGTGACAACATTCCCTGTTTCTGGCTGGGCCGACGAGCAAAGAGGATCACAGCGAGAAGATACGGAAGGAGTTCATTCATGATTACTCGGGTTCTAGGGCTCAGAGCCAGTTAGAAACATATAGAAACAGATAAATCCATCTATAGCTACACCTGATTATTTCTGCAAAATATATATTTTATAAAAATTTAACTTTATTATTATTATTATTATTGTTGTTGTTGTTGTTGTTGTTGTTGTTGCTGCTGCTGCTGCTGCTGCTGTTGTTGTTGTCGTTATTGTTTGTTATTATTGTTATTGTTGTTGTTATTTACAGTCAATGACTAGGAAGATAAAAATACATTGTTTAGATAAAATCACATAATATCAGAGACATTAGACAAGACAAAACTGGCATTGCACTGGAAATACAGGAGGACAAAACCATCTGGCAGGGCAGTGAGCAATCTCTCTTCCTCTAGTGACCTTTTTCATAAATTCCCTGGATCTTGATTGTTTCACATTCACCCAAGCAAAGTCACCAGGTATAGAAGTGGTGAGATCCAGATCCTCACTTTCACCTAGTTTAAAAAGGAGATCAGCCACTCCTTCCCGAATTGCAATCGAACCCAGCAAGGAGACCATGCCGTGCGTTGCTCTACGCACACCTTTTCTGTGACTCTGTTCCATTCAAGCCTAGCTGTGTATATAAACACCCAGATGGAAGGCTGGTTCTCACCACATTCTTCTGGGGCCTTTGCTTTTCTGGAAATAAACTCAGATTTAAGACCTGTTTTAATTGACCAGGACAATCAACACCGGGCGGTGCCAATGGCGTGCTTTCCATCCCGTATGGCTTCCATCCTGTACCAGCCTTGACATGCACAACACAGGAAAGAAGGGACGTCACCTCCCCACGTCCTTGGCTATTGGCCTTGAAAACATATATTTACAGAGCAGGTTTTGCTTTTGGCAAACAAATCTAGAAAGCTTGGGACCTTGATCTCTACCGAGGGAGGCGAGCTGGCCGGTTTCCTCATGAGCTAAGTGGCCGGCCCTCCCTGGATGGGGGAATGAAGGGCCAGCAAAAGTAGGGCAAAAGCTAATCCTGGCGATTGAACTTCTGCTCCAAACCTCTTCATCCACATGTTTTCAGTGGGGGAAGCCTTTCCTCATTGGCAGACGATGGCACACCTCCAATGCCATCTCTCTAGCGTTGCACCCCCACCTCTAAAAGTCCAGCTACGCTATCCTGCCTTCATCCATGGCCATCTGCCTCTTTCAAGGATAAAACCGTCCTCCGCTGTACGTTTCCTGGTGTTCGGAGGTATACTGCCTCTGGACCTGGAAGCTCCATTTCAGCCCCATGCCCTGCTGCAGAATGAGAGGAGTACGGGGCATGCCTCAGACAGCCGGCGAACACTCTCACGTTGCTCGCACAACTGCTGGATCACCCAAGAGCGTGCAAACTGCTACCAGTGGCCGAGCTTGGAAAAAGTTACTTTTCTGGCGTTACAAAATGCCCCAGCCAGCATGTTGATTCTGGAACAAGGGATGGATCCCTGACCCAGGTGAAGGCATCTCGTTCCATGACAGAAGAGAAGAAGGGCCAGTTCAGTCGTTGTATACTGGCTGTGGCAGGACGTGGCAGGAAGGGTGCCAGGAAGGGTGCATGGCACACATTGTTCTGTCTTCCAAAACAGAAGGGTGGACCCTTTCGATGTGCCACCCTAAGCCTTTGCTTCGCTCTGCCTAATAGAAAGGATGTGTCTTACCTCACTCCCCACCCCCGTATTCTTTCCCAACATCAGGGGAAAGATGAACAGGTTGTCCTTTCCTATTTGACAATGAGATTCCCTCTCCGTACCTTTAGAAAGTGCTGATGGTCCTTCAGCCTTAAATACAGGAGGTTAGGCCTGCTTTTTAATAAACTTAGAAGGCAAAAACGGGTGGATTTCCCTCTGGAAGCACCCCTTCACAAAAAGACTTCAGAATTTTCCTTCTACTCACCTGCAAAGAGCATTGACGCGAGGATTAGGATCACGATCTTCATGGTGGTTAAAAATGCAGGCTCCAGGGGGGTTGCTAAGGTGAGGTCTGAGCAGGGAGCAGGGAGAGTAAGAGGCAGTTAAACCCTCTCTTTAACCCACCCCCTATCATTCATTACCACCGGGGCTACTGCCCTAAGGTGAATGTACAAGCGTGCGTGAGAATTTGTGTGCACTCTCTGGAGGTGGTTGAAACCCAGAAGGACAGGAACCGGTCGAAAAAGAGAAAACGATTGGAAGATACGGTGCCGTAGTCTGCTACATATAGAAAGAAAGGAAAGGAATAGAAAGAAAGGACCCATAAAGTCTCATTCATGATAATACAGTGATGCCTCGCATGACGAAAATAATTCGTCCCGCGAGTCATTTCGTATTGCGAAAATTTCGTCTTGCGAATTTTCCCATAGGAACGCATTTCGATGCATTTCCCATAGGAATGCATTGGGGGAAATCGTCTTGTGAAGCACGGCCATAGAAAAATTCATCTTGCAAGTCACAAAAAAAATAAAATAAAATAAAATTGCAAAACACTTTACTCTTGCGAGTTTTTCGCTGCAAAGCTGGCACAGATGCACTGCACCCCTCACCCCCCCAACACTTGACCCACCAACCTCTAGTGGTGAGCTTCTGTGAGGTGAGTTCTGTAAGAAACCCAGCTGGGGGAGAGGAAATGGTAATGCAAGGACGATGTACTGCGGAGTGCTCCATTTCAGTTTTTTGGCCAGCCACACTTTAGTCTTGCGAGTTTTTCGCTGCGAAGCTGGCACAGATGCACTGCACCCCTCACCCCCCCAACACTTGACCCACCAACCTCTAGTGGTGAGCTTCTGTGAGGTGAGTTCTGTAAGAAACCCAGCTGGGGGAGAGGAAATGGTAATGCAAGGACGATGTACTGCGGAGTGCTCCATTTCAGTTTTTTGGCCAGCCAGCTATGTCCTATTCAGGGATACGCTATTCCACCTTCAATCTTCTCATTCTGCCAGCGTCCCGTACCCACAGAGCATGCTCAGCCTTTACTGGGGTGGCTTTGGCACGCCCTCTTTCTTCCTTTAAGGTTCTTTCCCTGAAATCTATTTTTGCAAACTGGTCATCGTGATCTGTTCTCCCTCCCTGGGAACCCTTTCACTAACTAGAGGAGCATCTACAGAGGGACTGAGCTTCAGAACAATATTTAGGTCTCCAGATAAAAACATTATGAGACATCCTTGGAACAAGAAGACTCGGACAACATAGCGGAAAGTTGGCGATGAATGACAGGAACCGAAAGCCTTTCCCCACCCTGGTGTATGCTCCAAGCTTTATTTCTGTAATCTATACATGTTAATATGGCAGGTGAGACAGATTTAGTGAAAGGCGGAGGAGATACAGTATATCCCAGAAGTGAGTAGACCCCCCTCACATTTCATAAATGGTCATGTGACAACACTGAAGAAATGACACTTGGCTACAATGTAAAGCAGGGAGCATACAGGTTGTATAACAGTGTCAATGTGCTGTCCCCTCAAAGTAACGCAACACATAGTCATTAATGGCTAAACCGCTGGCAACAAAAGTGAGTACACCCCTAAGTGACAATGTCCAAACTGGGTACAAAGTGTCAATATTTTGTGTGGCCACCATTATTTTCCAGCACTGCCTTAACCCTCTTGGGCATAAAGTTCACCAGAGCTTCACAGGTTGGCGCTGAAGTCCTCGCCCACTCCTCCATGATGACAGAGCTGGTGGATGTTAGGGACCTTGCACACCTCCACTTTCCGTTTCAGGATGCCCCACAGATGCTCAATAGGGTTGAGGTCTGGAGACATGCTTGGCCAGTCCATCGCCTTTACCCTCAGTTTCTTCAGCAAGGCAGTGGTCGTTTTGGAGGTGTGTTTGGGGTCATTGTCATGTTGGAATTCTGCCCTGCAGCCCAGTCTCCGGAGGGAGGGGATCATGCTCTGCTTCAATATTCTGCCCTGCAGGCCAGTTCTGAAGGGAGGGGATCGTGCTTTGCTTCAATATGTCACAGTACATGTTGGCATTCATGGCTCCCTCAATGAACTGTAACTCCCCAGTGCCAGCAGCACTCATGCAGCCCCAGACCATGAGACTCCCACCACCATGTTTAACTGTAGGCATGACACACTTGTCTTTGTTCTCCTCACCTGGTTGCCGCCACACACGCTGGACACCATCTGAACCCAATAAGTTTTCCTTGGTCTCATCGGACCCCAGGACATGGTTCCAGAAATCCATGTCCTTAGTCTGCTTCTCAGTAGCAAACCATATGCAGGCTTTCATGTGCATGATCTTTAGAAGAGGCTTCCTTCTGGGACGACAGCCCTGGAGACCAATTTGATGCAGTGTGCGGCGTATGGTCTGAGCACTGACAGGCTGACCCCCCACCCCTTCAACCTCTGCAGCAATGCTGGCAGCACCCATATGTCTATTTCCCAAAGCCAACCTTTGGATTTGACGCTGAGCACGGGCACTCAACCTCTTTGGTTGACCATGGCAAGGCCTGTTCTGAGTGGAACCTGTCCTGTTAAACTGCTGTATGGTCTTGTCCACCATGCTGCATCTCAGTTTCAGGATATTGGCCATCTTCTTATAGCCTAGGCCATCTTTATGTAGAGAAACAATTCGTTTTTTCAGGTCCTCAGATAGTTCATGAGGTGCCATGTGGGACTTACAGTGACCAGTCTGAGAGAGTGAGAGCGATAACACCTGCTCCCCCTTCACACCGGAGATTTGTGACACTAACAGGTCTCATGACACCTGGGAGGGAAAACGGCTACTTGGGTCTTCTTATAGCCTAGACCCTCTTTATGTAGAGAAACAATTCGTTTTTTCAGGTCCTCAGATAGTTCATGAGGTGCCATGTGGGACTTACAGTGACCAGTCTGAGAGAGTGAGAGCGATAACACCTGCTCCCCCTTCACACCGGAGATTTGTGACACTAACAGGTCTCATGACACCTGGGAGGGAAAACGGCTACTTGGGCCCAATTCGGACATTGTCACTTAGGGGTGTACTCACTTTTGTTGCCAGCGGTTTAGACATTAATGGCCATGTGTTGCGTTATTTTGAGGGGACAGCCCATTGACACTGTTATACAAGCTGTATACTCACTGCTTTACATTGTAGCCAAGTGTCATTTCTTCAGTGTCGTCACATGAAAATATTTATGAAATGTGAGGGGGTCTACTCACTTCTGTGCTATACTGTATATCCTCGAAACAAGATAGGCTAAGGTGCTTTTCGTAAACTGTGTGAATCCTAAACTAAAAACACACCTACATGTATCTATCACTGGCAATTTTCTGTGTCTACATTATATTGTTATAATAGTTAAATAAACCAGTGTAAGATTTTGTGGTGCCGCCCTATAGATGTCTGGGATCTGTGGTTGGACCCATCCCCCTCCTCGTGACTCAAGGGCTGTCCCACAAGCTGCATCACAAGAGTTGTCTTGCTAGGGACCTCACCAATCTGACGAATTACAGATCAGATCCCATGACTGTTATCAGCAGCGTCCAGGAACAGAACATGTAGCCAACCCATGGCAGGAGGATCTGTGAGTAAACCGGCGCACCGCACTGCAGCAAGACCTGGTGAGTGACGTGTCTTTATTGTACCACCTGGAGAGGAGTTCACAGATTAACACCCCACCCAATTATTGCAATAATCCCTTTCAGGTTTCGGTCAACGCTTAGTGATGAGCAGGATTTAGGGGAACCCCAGGGAACTGCCCAATCACTACCCAAAGTCAATTTTAAAAGCAATTCATCATCCTCTTCTCCAGAATGAATGTGTTACGAAACCTCAGCTTCTAGGTGACCGCTTTTCATGTCACTTCCTGGCCTTCTTTTGAGACGCCCGGCTTTCTTTCCATTTCTGGACCTGTTCAGGCACTTTACTGTCCAGAACCTCCAGGTGGGCCTTCAGCCTCTCCTCCAGGTTATGGTCTATCTCCCTGAGCCTGTTGGCCAGGTTCCGGCCCAGGGGCGCCAGGTGAGCCTCTAGTTCCTCGAGCACGGGGTCAAAATAAGGGGCGAGCAAATCGGCGACGGCGGCATCTATTTTTTTCAGGATCGGCTTTGAGGCATTTTCCACTTCGTCCATAAAATCAAACAGTTTTTCTGCTATATCGCCAACGTTGTCTATAAGGCCGACCAGGTTATCAAGGGTATCCTGGACGTCTGCAGATAATTCGACATCTGGGCTGGCGTCGTCATCATCATCTTCGTCTAAGACCTCACTGTGGAACAGAGAAGGCTGGGGATGATGGAGGTGACAGGATACAACTCCGCTTGCAGTGAAGTAAACTGAGCTGGATATTCAGATGGAAGGTCAACCTCAAGGCCCTTTAGGATCAGATTCAGGTTGGGAGCAGAATCTTGGCTGCAGTACTGTTGTTTAACCACGGGAGGGCCTTGTGGTGCAGTTATTAAACTGCAGCACTGCAGCCAAGATCGTGCTCACAACCTGAGTTTGATCCTAAAGGGCTCAGGTAGCCAGCTCAAGATTGACTCCTTTTCCCATCCTTCCGAGGTCAGTAAATTGAATACACTGATGCCTCGCTAGACGATGATAATCCATTCCACTGAAATCGCTGTCTAGCGAAATCGCTGTCTAGCAAAAAAGCAAATAGTCGTCTAGCGAAAATTGGTTTGCGAAGCAGGGACCAAACATTGTCCAGCGAAATTCCCCCATAGGAATCACTGTTTTGCAAATCGCTATAGCGATCGCAAAAAAGTCAATGTCTAGCGAAAAAACTGTCATGCGGGGTAACTGTCTAGCAAGGCATCACTGTACCCAGCTCATTGTGAGTGTCTGGGAGGTGATGTGTAGCGTGCCTAATTACATTGTAAACTTCCCAGAGTGATTTCAGTGCTATGGGGCGGTATATAAGCAGCACACTTTCCTTTTTTGCTTTAACCATTGCACCGTGGGGCTTCAAGGGAAGTTATTTCCTACTGTGCCTCCTTGACGGGGGCTGGACTTGATGACCCACAGGGTCCCTTCCATCTTGGCAGTTCTAATCTTGCTTTTTTCCCCCAAGAGGGCAGCTCTGACTTCTTGCTACTCCACCTTAGGGTGAAAACAGTCAGTGAAAAAAGGGTCATGTCTGGAAAGAGTTACTTGGCTGGGAGTGACCGCTCTTAAACTCACCTTTCCCTACATACGGGAATCAGTCAAGCCCAGCTTTTAAAAAAAAGAGTAGACTTGCGGTGGACCAAAAAAAGTCCATCTTCGGCACAGAGAAGGGCTGGGTTGGTTTGCAATATCCTGTATATCATCTGAAAGTCAGAAATTGCTTGCACCAGACTGTGCCATCACTGGTCCAAAACTGTGAACTGTTTCTCCACCTGATCACACTCTTGGTTAGAACCAGGATTCCTACGGTCTTTCCTGCCTCCATGTATTTCCATAAAACGTAGGCCAGCTTCCTCATTTTGCTAGGCAAGGACGTGAGTCCTTTCCAAAGGCAGTGCCTGCTTCGCTTACCTCTCTGATATTCAGCGGACAGAATCCACTAGTTAACTCAGCAGGAAATCAGGAGCCCCCCCCCAATAATTCAAGGGAAGAGCATGTGGCCTGAACGTGGAAGACTCTCAAGCCTCATTCCTAGCATGTTTGAGTACAAAAAGCTGCTGGTGGTCAAGGCAGATGGGGAATAGACAACCCTGTGCTTTCTATGGGCTTTGGACTGCTTACTAGAGATGGGCACGAACCGGTTTGTCCCAGTTCGTAAAGGCTGCAGCACAGATGCTGTTCCTTGCCTCCTCAGGCAGTCAGCCCCTCACCAGGCCCCGCTGGCTTGCTGCAACACAGATGTTGTTCCTTGCCTCCTCAGGTGATCAGCCCCTCACCAGGCCCCGCTGGCTTGCTTTCCCCACCTCCTCGGCTGATCTCCCAGTCGCAAGCAAGAGCACAGACTTCTCTGCCCTGGCCTTTTCTCTGATTGGCAGATCAGCCCAGAGGGGAGGGGCAGAGAAGCCTGAGATCTTGCCGGGACTGGATTAGTTGAGGAGGTGGAAAAAACATGCCGGTTGGGTCTGATGGGTTGCTGATTGAGCTGGAAGAGGCAGGGGAGGAGAGAATTGTGCATCTGCCTTTATGAACTGGGAGGAAACCAGGACAAACTGGTTTGTGCCCATCTTTACCGCTTACACGCCTTGATCATGGACCCCGCTGGGGCTCACAGGCAGTGTAAACTAAACTCAGGGAACCAGTGTGGAGCATTCACAATAAAGTGCCAGATTAGGACTCAAGAGACCTGGGTTCAAATTCCCCACCTGACCACGAAAAATTCACTGCAGGATGGCAATAGTCAACAATTCCTTGAACATCTCACATATCTCAAAAAAAATCCGGTAATGGTGCCATAAATAAGAATGAAAAATTCACTGCAGGGTGGCAATAGTCAACAACTCCTTGAACATCTCATATAACTCAAAAAAAGAGAAAAGAAAAGAAAAGAAAAGAAAAAGAAAAAAAGAAAATCCGGTAATGGTGCCATAAATAAGAAGTAGCTTGATGGCACATGACAGTGGTGTCGAACTGTGGCCCTCCAGATGTTCTTGGACTACAACTCCCAGAAGCCTTCACCACCACCTCTGCTGGCCAGGATTTCTGGGAGTTGAAGGCCAAGAACATCGACAACACTAAAATCGCACATGCGCCGATGTAGGCCATCTAAACGTTATTCCAGCAAATGCACCTCCGTGGTAGGCAGAGATAGCAAGATTTGCTTACGTCACTGCCTTGCCAGTCTTGGATTCCGTGATCAGATCCCACTTCTTCTCCAAGGCTTTTTCAATATTATCAAAGAATGTGTCTGTTGCTTCGAATAATTGTGCCGTCTTGGAAGGTGGGGCCGGGGCATCTCGGAGGACAAAAGCCTGAGATCCTAGGAAGCAAAATTGCGAACAGAAATGGCTTTACACTCTCCACCCTCGTTCAGCAACCCTTCAAAGTTCTGGTGGGCTTTGGGCAAAAAAATATAATAGTGGGAGGGGGCTTCTTCCTCCCTTCTTCTCCCTGACCTCCCACCTAAATAAATCACACAACCTGAACAATGTAAGGTAACATAGATAAGATTGATTCACTCAGGTAATCTTAGTAGCAGTAAATAAGTGAACCGAGCTTAGATAAACAAACGGATAACATAACAATGAAGGGAAAGTCTGGAATATGTAGGAGGAGCGAGGGAAGGGGAGCCTAAAGCTGAGCTTTGAGGCACTCTGCACATGCCCAGAGAAGAGGGACAGTTGTGCACATTGTGTGCAGAACATGCCGAGACTGCAATCCACTCATGCAGGAAGATCAGCCACCCCAACGGTGGCGATGACAGCTGCTGCTGGGCCTCCAGGGAAGTGGGGAGGAGGCGGAAGAACCTGGCGGGGGGACCCTGCGGCTCTTCCCCAAGCGTGGCAGTGGACCCGTGGCAGGCCCTTGGCACACGAAGGAGCTGAGCCTCGTCTGCTCGGCGTCCAGGTGCTCCACACAAACCCCCTTGCCCTCACGGCTGCCCCAATGGCTCCCGGCCGGTGGCTGCTCTGGCACTCCACACACCCCTTCATGTGGGCTCCTACAGACCGTGGCCCCTGGCCAAATGCCCACGTTGCCCTCAAGGGAAAGCGCCCCTGCCGCCAGTGGTGAATCAAAGAACTGGGGTGCATTACAAAAGTTGGCACCCAAGCCTTCCCCTGTATTGCAAAACCCCATGTGTTTCTTTTGCTTTTAATTTAAAGGTGAGGATCTTGACATTCTTGGTGGCATCAAGCATCATCAAGACGTAGGCTTTGAAAGATGTTGGCTGGAGTTTTCCACGCCCCCCACCCTACCCTCATTTCTCCCAACCTAATGAGGAGCTGAGGGAAAAAAAACCCTCTGGGATTCTCAATAGATTGCGATTATAACAAAGTTTAGATTTTTAAAGGTTCGTCCAGAACGGTTCACCTCTTGCGGGGACGGATCGAGGGTGAAACTCATGCAGCTTAAACTGCAGGGTCCCAGAAGCGACTTTAGTCCATATGTTTTCTTAAAAATTCGTAGCCCTCGGTCACGGAGTTTCACACATCCCATCGGAACTACACTGTTCCTGAATTGCTTTATAATATCTCTGCATGAGAAACTAATAATTAACAGGGGAGTCCCTGTTGTGGTGTGATTTTCCTTAGGAGACCAAGGTTCATGTCCCCTATTGAGCCATGAACTGCTGGATAGCTCAGTGGTTTAGATCGCCGGCTACAGAGCCAGAAGTTGGGAGTTTGATTCCCCACTGGGCCTCCTCGATAAGGGTTGGATGATGATCCATAGAGTCCCTCCCAGCTCTGCAGTTCTAAGATGATAACACTGGAATTCCCTAAGTGATCCTGCATCAGGCAGCCTCTTTTAGGATGACCAGCCTCAACAAGGTTGTTATTGGGATAAAGTTGGAAAGGGAAGACAGCTCACACCTGCCATCTTGGAGGAAAATCAGGATGTAAGACCCGTGGCCCGAATCCTCTTGCTTGCATAGACTGGAGGGGAAGGCAAATGGTGTTAACTCCCAGTGAAGAACTCTTGTTAGGTAAAGAGTCAATGCTTGTATTGCTTACCGTTCCTTCAGTCAAACAATGGGTCTGTGGCAAGGAACGCAAGCCTCTATGCCTTAAGTTAGTGGCCCACGATTTAATTTTTGCCAGCATATTCAAATAATAAGATTCTGGAGGGTTGTTCTGTTTATCTCTTTATATCCATCTCGGTTTGTCATTAAACTAGCATGGTTTTGATGCCAACCCAAATATGAGATTTCCCTCGAGAAGTTCCCCCATTTGGTCCCAAGACTTACGGTGTCCTTCTCTGCTCTACGTAGCCCCTTTACTCACCTGTGACGATGGCCAAAGCTAGTGTCAGGATCAAGAAGTTCATGGTGGTCTGTAGACGGTCCTGAGAACCTGCTAGGATGAAAAGAGGGGGGTGTCTCTGAACGGTGGGAGCTCCTGTGAAGAATAAATGGTCTCCCTCCACCCATGCCCACCTCGGGCCCCTATCATTCATTAATACAGCACGCCAAGGACGTGATCCCCTGAGGTCATTGTCCTAATGTCCCAAAGAGTTTGTACAAAGCAGAGGGAGACAGCCGTTCCAAGAAACGGTACCCCAGTTGGCCAGGAAATCAAAAGGCTACACAAATAAACAAGAACCCTTGGTCAGGGGAGGCTGTTTTGATAGATTCCCATTTCTCTCCATGAATAAACTGGAACGTCTCTCACGTTCCTGGAGATTCGGAAGAGCTTCAGAGCTTTGGAAAGGTGGGTATCTGAGTTCCATGCCTTGATATGGTAAAATCAGGACGTTGCTGGTTAAAACCACCTCACCAACCCTATCGTGATTCGTAACCAAAAAGACAAAGAAGGGGGTCCTTGATCAAATCAACCCTGAACTATCTCTGGAGGCAATGATGTTGAAATGGAGGTTGTCCTATTTTGGGCACTGAATTCATAAGGCAGGATTCCCTGGAAAAGACGATAAGGCTGGGAAAGGTGGAAGGCAGCAGGAAAGGAGGAAGGCCGAACGCAAGACGGACTAACTCCCTAAATTCCTTGAGTTTGCAAGAGCTGAGTGGGACGGTGGAGGACGGGGCATTTTGGAGGGTCCTAGGGTCACCATGAGTCGGAGGCAATTTGACAGCCTATAACAACCACCCCCACCCCCATGTCATGTGCTCACAAGGAAATGACAGCCTGCTAGGGTAGCTGATTGTAGACAGTATCCGCTTTTGCTGCATTTGTGTTCCTCTCATTTTGAAAAGGCCGAACTCGGGTTGTAGGAATAATAAAGTGAAGCCAATGAAACAATGAACTTGCCAGAATGATCAACGCTAGCAGCCTGTTTAGCTTTCCACACGTCTACCTGCAAAGGAGGCTCATTAAGGAGGCACTGGTTCCCCCAACCGAATTACCGTATTTTTCGCACCATAAGACGCACTTTCCCCCCCCAAAACAGGGGGGTGGAAAGTCTGTGAGTCTTATGGAGCGAAGAAAACAGATTATATTTTCCTGTTTTCTTCTAAAAAATTGGTGCGTCTTATAGAAAGGTGCGTCTTATGAAGCGAAAAATATGGTAGGTAGTCACACATGACACGGTATGCAACCAAACCACTGACTTGGTTTCAATAAGGAGATCCTTATTTTGTATTGCTGGTTGGATGGCTTCAGGCATGTGAGACAGAGACTGAGAGTTTGATTTCCCCACGGTGCCTCCTGGGGGTACAGCCAGCCTGTGTTGACTTTGGCCAACCTGCACAGTCTCAGGGCTCCCCCCTAGAAGAAGGGAAGGGTTCCTCTGTGTCTTCTCTCCCTGGAAAACCCTGGAAAAGGGTCGCCGTAGGTCAGAATTGATCTGACGGCTCTCAGTGATTATTAGTGGTTGGAGAGCTCAATAGTTAGGGATCTGGTTGAGAGTTTGATCCCCCCCCCACTGTGTCTCCTGCAAGTAGAACTAGCCTGGATAGCCTTGGGTAAGCGGCACAGTCCCGGGGGGGCCTCCCCCCAGAAAAGGGAATGGGAAGCCACTTCAGTGTGTATTCTGCACCTGGAAAACCCTCAAAAAGGTCACCATAACTCAGAATTGACTGGACAGCTCAGGATTGTCTGGACAGCCCATGATTATCGTTATGATTTATTTTGTGTTACAAAATCCAGAGAAGAGAAAGCTTACAAAAAAAGCACAGCATCAAATTGTCCAATACCATGATTATCGTTTTGATTTATTTTGTGTTACAAAATCCGGAAAAGAGAAAGCTTACAAAAAAAAAAGCACAGCATCAAATTGTCCAATATACATGTTGAAAGACAAAACATTTTTTAATTGACTTCTTTTCGACAACGCTTGCCACGCATTTGATATTCTTTACAAATCACTGTGTAGGGGTAACAGCAGGAGGGGTCACCCAGTCATCGGAGTCCTTGATGCATTGTTTTTTGAGTTCCTCCAGAATGGGGGCAAGGTAGGCTCTCAAGCTCTGCTTGATTCTCCTCGCTCCCTGTTTGAACTTCTCTTGGGTCCGGCTCGCGAAGGGTTCCAGGGAAGCTTGGAATTCTTGCAGTTGGCTCTGAAGTTTCTCGGCGTAAGGCGTGAGCTGGCTTTTCAGTTCTTCCAGCTGCCGTTTCAGCTTCTCCATCAACTTGGGGTTCTTGAGTGTCTCGGTTTTGTCAGCCACGACACGGCGCATGGCCTCGGTGTACCTCTTCACCTTCTCTAGGACTGAGTTGGCATAGGGCGTCACGATGGAGTAGAAGGACGCAGTCAGCTTCTCCGTGGCAGGCGTCACCTTCCTCTTCAAGCCTCGTAAGGCGCCCAGTCCTTTATCCACCACGCTCAAGGATACCGCGACCACTTGGTTGTAGGCCCGAGTGACCTTGGGGGGCAGCATTGCTTCCAGTTTACGGACACAACTTTTCACTTCTAAATAGCCCTCCCGCAGCTGGTCCCTGCAGAAAAGAAACCACAGACCATCGAAAGAGTCAGAAACCACTGGCCAGATTCCCTGACTGAAATGGACTAACCACATAAGGAGACATATGTGTGCAATATATGGTTCAGTCCAGTTTATTATTATTATTATGGTCACTGAAATCGCTGTTTAGCAAAATCATTGTCTAGCGAAAGGTTACACTTATAAGGCAATCACAGTGCTTAAAATAGAGGGGGGAGTTGAAGTTATAGCTTAAAATCATTATCCATTAAATCTTTATTTATCTTGCACGCAGCTGTGAGACATTTTACACAGGTAAGTGTCATCTGGGGATTAAGGCCTACAAGTAGTTTATGTGAGATCTTTGTTTCTGGACAGCCAAAAAAAAAGGTTAAGCAAAGGAAGAATAAACTTATTACACAGTTCATGATGGAACCAGCCATGTACTATTTGTGTTGTTGATTCTACAGTGCCATCACTGCAAGGATAAATCTTCTCTGCTATGGGGATATTTTTATATCTCCCATTGGTAACCTCTGAGGGAAGAGCATGTTATCCAGTTAATGAGAAAGCCCTGTGGTGGGTCAGTAATATCTAGGGATGTGTTCTGTGTCTGGAATTGGGGGAAGTAACAGGTTCATACATGACTAGGTGTATTATCCTGTGCCCCCCCCCCCAAAAAAAACATTTAATTTCCTGCACGGAGCAGGGGGTTGAACTGGATTGCCTTACAAGCCTCTTCCAAAGCCATTATTCTATATTTTTATTTATTAATTTTATTTATATATTATGATTCTATGATTTCTTTTTTCGACCTCAAAAAGCCCTTGCTTCAGTCCCCCACTCCCGACTATCTTCGCTCCAAACCAAGCCTCTTCCCCCCCCAAAAAAAATCTGAAATGACTTCCCAATTTTTAAAATAGCCTCTGTCCCCAGACCCCGCTGACGTTGCACCAAGTCACATCCGATTTAGAGGGACCCTAATAGGGTTTTTGAGGTATGTGAGGTGTTAAAGGGGTGATTGACCTTAACCACCATCACTGCCACAGTGAGTTTCCATAGCCAAGCGGGAATTCGAATCCAGGTCTTCTGTGAGTCTGTAATGGTTTGTGCTGTTTGTGCGCACCACATTGGCTTTCAAAAAACAACCCACAGGAGGTCAAAAATCATGGCAGAACCACCAAATAAATACCTCCCACAGAGGACATAAGCAAAATGACCAGATAGGCGGGGTATAAATGTAATAAATAAATAAAATAAATAAATAAAATAATTTTGGGACAGGGGTGCAGGAGGAGATCACACGAGAGCCTCTGGGATGGTCACATCTAGCTGAAGGGCCAGGCGTTGCCGACCTTCGCTTTTATATCAGCTCCAGAGGCCGACTTGCTTACATTATTGACTGGCCAATCTCCAAACGGTTGATATAGTCGATTTTTTCATTCACTGCCCTGGAGATGTTCCTTAGGTAGTCCTGGAGCTCCTGTTTCAACTCCTCCAGATGTGGATAGGGTTCCTCTCGGAGGGTAAAAGCCCGGGACCCTGGAAGATAAGGTGGGGGAGAAAAATCAATGCACCGCTGGCTTCGGTTGCAAAAGGAAAGGTATTGGGATCTGCACGTTTGATTCGCAACCCCATTTGAACCAAACTTTGCTCTTTGTTGTGCAACCGATACCTTTCCTCGCAAGGTAAAGAAAACAACGAAGACCGCCCACACCGGGGTGGAAATAACCGCTGTGTTCTGCAGTGCAGAAGGCAGAAAGAGAAAACCAGTGAAGATTTATGCATATCATAACAAATGAGAAAAGAAAGAAGCCTAACCTATAACCACCAATCAAGGCAGGGCAACTCGTATCATTATGTAGCACGAAGGTGCGATCACACAGAGAAATAGATTGCAATTTAGATTGCTGGTCCAAATTTGGTGCAATGTTTCCTGGTGATTGCTTGATGCAGACCCAAGCTGGACTTTTTTGGCCCTGCTGTAGAGGTTCTCCTTTCTGCCACCATGCAGGAACAATTTCTCAGCAGAGGGAGGGGTCGCTTTAAGGGAGATGGCTTCCTGCAAAGTCACCCTCTTTGGTGCCATAAATCATGTGGGTTTGAAATTGTGAGATGGTGTGGACATCTTACACTGGTCCCATGTTTCCAAGCCTTGCAGGAGAACAGAGGGAGAACGGTTCTCCCCCAGCCTTGCTAAGATCCAGCACGTTCCCAACTCAGCTGCAGACTTTGGCGGCATAGCAAGCAAATGCAATACCCCTCTTTGTGCCAGCCCTCTCAACCAGGCAAAGTGTCCACTTCAAGAGAAGTGTCCCCCCAAAAAGAGGGACATGTATCGCCAGGAAGACGGACAAAACAAAAGTTAGATTTGCATCTGCAGTTCTAAGATGATGACGACTAAGAAATACCAGGGACAGTGAATCAAAATTATAAAAAACATTGACAGGTATTACACAACAGATACAAGTTTTAACCAAAAGCCTAAGTATCTGAGAGTATAGTTGCTGTTCCCAATATTGCAATTAATTTATATTACAAGGGTTTTCAGCAGGCTGAATAGCTC